AAGAAACGATTCTGCCAGCTCAGGTCTCCAGTGCACAACCGCTGCCATCCCACAGCACCTCCTGCCCTCCTTCCTCACGGGTAACTCAGCGAAGGGTGATGTGACCAGCAGACTGGCCAGGGTGCCCTGCATGGCACAAGCAGAGAACCAAATCACCTCTTATTCCTCGGGCAGACTGAGAAGCCTCCTGCATGCACTGCAGAGGGGTGATGGAAATGGAGGCCCCTGCTGCTAGCAGTCCTGCAGGCCTGAGGCTGGCGGACACGGCGCTGCTGCTGCTGCCACCGTCAGCAGGAACCCGAGGAGCTCAGCACCCGGGAGAAAATGCTGGGCTTCTCACAGAATCAGTTCCTGGTTTTCTGCCGTAAGCCTGTACTTGTTTGTTCATCTCCTTCCAAACATACACCATGCACATTTTTGTGTTACACTTTTTCCCCATAACAGGAGAGAACAGCATGATTCCCGGCCTGTCTGCAGGCGTGCGAGGCTGCCAGTAGCTTGTAGAGAGCATTTATTTAATGGGAGTGAGGTTGGTAACAGATGGATGGGTTTATATTAAGAGAGTTTAGAAACTAAGAATGGGTTTAATTTACCCGATAAATACGCATGTAACCTATTCTAGTCCAATCTTCACTTTCTAGTTTTAAAGCAGTGTTCAGGTTTTGAGCAAAAAGCTCCAGCAACCTCTGTTGTTTAGGTACAGCGCAGGGATTAGTCTGTGCTTAATCTATTAAATTCACATGTGGTGGTTGAATTAATTATAAATTGCTGGCCTGAATGTAAAAGCTGGTCCACGGAAGTTGAGGAGATTTTCACATCAGCATGTGAGGATGCACACACCTATTGATAACAGGACTTGCTAGTGACAGGCAGGTACTTTGGATGCCAACACTGGGATGTGCAGGTAATTAAATAAGTGTATCTAGAAAGTTTCTCTCAGCAGTGTGTGCTGAATAACTGATTTGACGGCTTATGATGAGCTAGAATTTCTAGATCAGTGTTGATCTGCAGCGTGAACTGGGAGCAAACCGTGATGCTCATAACTTATTAGAAGAGACGTTCTCTTTCTTTTTGTGGCTGGGTCTAGCATTTGAATGCTTATATATGCACTGAGCATAGTCACTGTAATGCATTTCTGTCAATTTTCTTCTTGGCCAGTGTTGCACTGTGTGCATACGCATAGTTGTGTGACTGTAGTTGTTCTCCTTCGTGTGATTTCCTAAAAATGCTTACATAACACATGCCTCCTCCCCATTTTTCTTCTTTTTTTTTCTTAAAAAATAAAAAAAGAGCCTGCAGAGAGCTCAAGAACAGAGATAGAGATGGATGTGAAGAAGCAGCTATCCATGCAAATGTGCTGAATGGAAGGCCCATTAATTGCATTTTCAGTTCAGAGACTGAGTTGGTAGCACTCTTGTGCCTATCAGCGCAGATGGCTGGGCAGTCCTGCTCATGGTTTGTGTGGCTCTTCCCTTACACAGCAGCTGCAGCCCTGAGCTGCTTGTTTCATTCATACAGCATCTGAATCCAGTGCTCATCCATTCTGCACATGGACCTTGTGGTTGTACAGGAGGTGCTCGAAGTGACTGGGAACACTGTTACAAGCTGCATTTCTATGGGAGATGCAGAAGGGAAGGGATGCTCTAGAGTTTGTAAGGAACTGATGTGAGGAGCTGAAATGCTGTTGGTAAGGATGTAAGAGGAGGAACTGCTGATGTCCTGCCACCCTGACAACCTAGAAATGTGTTTGCTTGGTTGCTTAAGCATGTACGAGGTAGAGAAGGAGCTAGGAGGAAGAACATACCGTCCTGTATTTGTCTGTAGTCTTGCTGCCAGCTTTGTCATATCTTCATCCAGGCTGTTTTCCATGACCCATGCCACCAAAGTTGTTTTTTTGCTGCATGGGTCCAGAGGTGTCCACTCTGCTGCTTTTGATGAGCAGATGTAGCAGGAGATACAAAAATAATCCCAGATATGTTTTCTGGAAGCTAGGAAACTTAAATGGCTCAGACAACTGAGAAAACAAATTATAAATTCAGGATGATGACCCAACTGTGTGACCAAAAATGTCTGGTGGATACATTTTGTACCACAGCCAAGAGTGCAGAGGCAGCTTTCAGCAGGAAAAACAAATAGTATTCACTTGGTTATAGTTTGAGTTAAGGGCAAAAAGAATCTAAGGTAGAGGAAGATACTTTAATTTGGGAAGGAAAGGCTTGGGCTGAGCATGCCAGTGAGATGCAGGAAGTAGAGCGCCAGCATTGCACAGGGAGTTTGCACAGAAAGCCCAGGACAACAGAGATGACTGCAGTAGGATCTGAAAAGACAGCTGATCAGTCAAGTAAAGAAACCAAAGCTGGAAAGCTTATGCTAAGGTGCCAAGCTCAGAGATCTGAGGCTGCCCAGGACCTCTCGCCAGCTCCAACCCAAAGGCTATGACCACAGATGTATGAGGGCTCCGGAGAGCCTGGCAGAAGGACTTGTCTAGGCTTTGGGTCAGCTGGCTGGTACATGCTCATACCCTGGAGTACGATATTTAAACACACATTTGCTGCTTGGCCTTGTAATTATATTTTTATTATCGACATGATGTTCTTTGCAGGGTCATGAATATTTTCGTTGAGTCACTAGAGGTCATTGGAGTTACTCAGCCCTCAGACTAGTTTCTCCCTGTCCCACCAAAGATTTGTGAGACTTGTAAAATATGCTCCGGATTGCCATATAGCTTAATTAGCCTCTGAGCTCTAATGAAGTGCAGCCTGACTAATGGTGCAGTCACAAACAACATGTTCCTGTAATTTGGGCCGTCACCAAGAACTTCTGTTATCACTAGACTCATCAAGGTGGTGCTTCAGAAAGCTGAAGGGCACTGTTGCCTGATGAAATGCAGCGTTTCGCACCAAGAACATAGCTGGAGGGGATCGGTGCTCTGACACGAGCTGTGTTTGTGACATGCCGCAGAGCCGTGGCTGCAGGTGGCTGGCAGCAGGAGCGAGGTGTCCCCGAGGAGCCTTGATTCTTCTGCTGCTCTGCTACGATCCCACAGGAGCCAGAGCACTGATCGCTGTAGTAACCCACAATTTTTGTTTTCATTTTGGCCTGCCAAGCACTGTGAAGTTAAACCAGGCAGTGTAATGGAGAGTGCCCTGTCCCCGATCCTGAAATGGAACGAAGAGGCACCTCATAAGCGATCTCTTTACTGGAGTTGTTTTATATTAAGCTTCTCAAAAATTGATCCATGGTCCAAAACCGCCGTGGACAGATGAACGAGGGCCAGAGCTGGGACTGGAGATCAAAACGCTGCCGTGTAGTTGTTTTGCAGATGTCAAGGCTTCCTGGGAGTTGCCAGTCAAAATTTCTTGCTGTTCTGTAACAGCTTATCGCAGCGAGATTTCTCATCTGATGACATATCTCCTCTCAGGATATGGCTACATGATCCTTTCCAGCAAGGACTCATCCCCGCTCTCACACAAACACTTCTGAGGCACAAGCTTTTGGCCTTCAGCCTGGCTTGGACTGCAGCGCATGGGAGCTATTTCCCAAGCGACTCCCAGGGAAAGATCTCCACTCTTCCCTTCTCCCATCAAACCTCTGCATGTGCTCATAAAGCTTTACTTAAGCCAAATTGAACTGAATTTTCAGCGGATGGACAAGATAGCATTTTTTGGAGTAAGGAAGAAATACGCCTTCTCCAAAAGTTAGATGTATAAATGCATTTCCTGGGCGGTGGCAGTATTTCTTGTGGTTATGAGCAAATATCTTCATGGCACTATGGTGGAGTTGTTTGTTTGCTTGTTTTTTGGGGGGCAGATTCATCCCCTCTCCTTGGTAGTCTCCTATCTTTCTCCAGCGAGAAGCAGGATTTATCATGTGTCAGGGGGACAATTTCTATGGAAGACTAGGGTCTAAAAAAAATAAAATTGGCTGCGCTGAAAAAGTTCAAGAAGAGTTCAGATCCGGGCCAAACTTTGAAGCCATTTCCTGTGTGGGTAATGTACTGGGAAAAAAAAGAAATCTGGCTCTTTTAGGGGAGCTTTGGATCTGTATCTGAACTTTGCAAGCATGGCCTTTCCCTGTGAAACAAAGCTATTTTTCTTGTTCACAGAATGATGTATTATGTATAGCATGGATGTTTATATGTATTTTCACCTCCAGCTAACAATACCTGCTTGGATTTGTTAGAACTATTTTTAAAAAGTACTGGGGGGAGGAAAAATGCAGAGGGCATAGAACGGTTGGGTATGTTTCTGATTTTTTCTTAAATCTAAAAGTTATAACACAGCTTTGCTGGTCTTGACCTTCCTTGCGAAGGAAGGGGCCACTTTGCTCTGAAGGAGTTATGCAAGGCTGGCTGGGGACTCCCACCATCTCTTGGTCCAGGTCTTGCAGTCCCCAGTCAATTGGGCCCACCGCATTTTACTCCGCCTCAGGGTCTGGCCCCATTTCTCCAACATCACCAGTCACCATCCAGCCTTTCTCCACTCTTCTCGTCTGTCTGGGTTTTGCCTGTCCACCCACAGTTCTTGTTTTATCCAGCTCACGTCACTGCAGGATTACTTAGAAGGTGATAATTTTGAGGGTAAATTTCAGGAGACCACCACATCTGTACACAACTACTGGGTTTGCCATTGGGAATGTTTTTATTTTGGTGATGAGGGCCAGTGGTTTTATACAGCACTGTCCTGCTTGAAAATGGGTGAGGACTCAGCATCTGGGACTTGTGTCTTGGACCTTCCAGTTGAATGATGACCAGAAGTTGTATTTACATGTAAATTAAAGCCTTGCCTTTGTTAACATTCCAGTTGCTTCTGCCTCTGGACATTTCATCTATTTATCATTTGTGTGCACTGTGAGCACAGTGGGAGCGAGATACATGTTTACTGTCACAACAGCTCTTGTAAATTGGGCTGTATAAATTTCTGGAGATGCTTGTTTTTGGGAGTCTCCAGACGTGGTGGTTGGTGGCATTGTCGTGTGACTTGTGCGTTTTGGTTTCTCAGGCAACAGCATGGGGTTCAGATGAAGACACCAGGAGGTCCTGTCAAAGTAAAGGGAAAACAGAGGTAAGTTTTCCTTTGCTACAGCCATGCTATGGGTGAATTTATTTACATCATTCCATTAGAAATCCCCACAGGGAGCATCTGACACCAGCTTGAGCCCATAAATCTGCAGCTGTTCGGAGCTAGTATCACAAGTGCCCGAGCACCACAGAGCAACCATTTCAAAGGCTACCTGTCCAAGTTATTAGACTTGCACTACATGAAATTTAAAGGTAATTTCACTGCTGGAGAGGACGCAGTTTGTGACATATCAAGGATCAGTGTGCTGGCAAATCCAGGGAAACATCTTGTAGTGGGTCTGAGGCTGGTCAGGTTGGCTTAGTCTCAGTACTCAGCAGCGAGCCGTTGGCGTTTGGCCACGTGGGCCTGTGTCTGATACTTGTTCGCAGTTAGAGCTGATTTTTGTATAATTCCCTTGAACATGAGAATTGAATCCACTAGGACACTGCAGTTCTTTTCAGGTGGAATGTCACAGAGCTCCTTGGGAGGCCAGCACAGTCTGCTAAGCTGCGGTTCAAACCCAGAACTGTTTGAACTAAGGCGTGCTATCTCAGACGTCTGAAGTTTGCAGGCATTTCTGACTGAAGCACGGGTCCTCTTCTGCCCCACTTCTGAGAAACTAAAACAAAACCATGTACTGAAAACAAGAAGTATTTTGATTTTTCAAATGTGGTGTTGGTACTGTTCAAACACGTTCAGGCGTTAACTGAGAGGGTGTCCTGTTGTCCTAAATATTATACCACAAAGAGTTTTCAGTCTAAACCAAAGGAGTTGGAAGATAATCATGATCTTTGCTGTAGACTTGGACAGTCAAGCAGAGAGTGCTTGTGTGGCTTGCCCAAAATCTGGAGTTCTGCCAAGTTCCAGTTCAGTGCTTCAAGCATGGGATTATATGATTTTCCATTGACCACATTCATTTCACATAATAAACTGTACGTGATTATTGTGTTAACTTGCATATACACAAAAATGTCAGCTTGAATTTTGTAGGATGAGCAACAAAGATCTTCATGTAGTTTTGGAGAATAGGGAATATCAGTATCCTCGAACATGTTTTAGAGTTTGTGTAGGGACTGCTTTGTATAGGAAAATGCCAGCCACTAGAAGAAGAACCCAAAAGAAGATAACAACATTAAAAAACTCTAAAACCCAAGACACAAGGAGTTTTTTAATCTGTGGTCTTTGTACTTTAAAACGTATACTCTAAAGAAAGGATTTTACTCTTTACTCCCATTGTAAAAATTTGTGAACCTTAGTCCATTGTTCATGAAGAATTTGAATTTATAACCCAGAATTATTTTGTCAGCCCCCAGATAAAACCCTATGAGATTCCATGCACTCGACTGAACAAATTCTAGGATAATTTCAATTTATTATTTTTACTGTCATGCCAAAAGAAAGCAATGGTCTGAGCATTTTTGCTGCTGCTGCTGCCTCCACACACTGCAAAGAGTCTGCCAAATATTTCATGAGGATGGTGCTCCAAGCAGCTGAGTTTATGCTGCTTGTTATCCAGAGCTTAAAATCGTTTGGTGGGTGCAGGAGCCTTGGATGTGCCGTTTTGAGAAACAATAATTAATCAGATTGTTAGACACTTCTTGACATACAATTAATGGCAAACAGAGGTGTTGACTAAGAGTATGACAAGAAGACATGGAGCTACGAAGAAAGGCAGAAGGATTCTGCAGTAGATAAGTAAACTCAGATCTCCCAAGTCTGTATTTACTTTTGCCTGTATGTCCATGGATGAATCCCTCCTGGGAGTCTACACATTCACTGCTCGTTACACTGTAGAGAAATGACTTAGTGCTAGCTCCAAATACCACATAGAGCTTAGCAAGCTGATGAACAGCTCTACTCCAGCTGAGAAGTCCAGCTCTGACCTCGTGTCTTTCTTTGGTTGGGTAAATGCATCAGGCAAGGGCAACACAATGTGAATATTTCTATTTATGCTGTGTGATAGTGGTACAAGAACCAGAGCTCTGTCAGCCTCAGCTCTGCTTTGTCAAAACTTGACTAATGGCAGTTTTCTACATAGCACAGATGATTTGATGATAAATATGCTCAGAATTGTCAGGCACTGAGATATGTGGTGATAAAGGCTAGAAATAAGGAGGACCTTTGGCTCTTAGATTAATTCACAGTGTAGTTTGGGTAAGTTATATGACTGGTTCATTTTCCTTACCCGTTTAATAATGTCTTTATTTTAAGATGAAGTTTTCAAAGCTACCTAGTGTATAAAAATGCCTTTTTCTTACGCCCGTTGAGTATCTAAATTGGATTCTCCCTGCTGCTTAGAAAATCTCCTCCTAAAATGCCTGGAGTTTTACCATAAGGAAAATAAGAAGTACAAGAGTAAAAGCTACAAAATGCTTATCACGGAAAGATAATTACCATGGCATGATGATCACTCCACATTGGAGAACCAACTGGACAGAGAAAAGGGAGATGAGAAATCTGTTTCCCAGATTTAAGGCCACTAGGTCTTTTCCTCGGATACCTTGTCTAGCTCTGGCCAGAAGTTTCACCTGCCTGTTCCAAAACTGAGCTCAGTAACTTGTCTTTGGCTGCTGCACCTTCCTGAGGAAGGCAGAAGGTTTTGAATCAAGCAGGCTGACTGCATGCTTTGCTGGCTTGATCAAATGGCTGATCACCTTCACTGTTAACAGCATGTACTTTATTTCCTGTTTGAATCTGGATTCAGTTTTGGGTGTCTGTGTCTCTTTTTGCCCTTCTCTTCTAGATTAAGGAGCTCTTTAGTTACCAATATTCTTTTTTTCTTGATAAACCATTCATATGCTCTTGTCAAGTCAGTACTTAGACTTTTTGGTAATGTAAAAAGCTGAGCTCTCCAAGCTGTTCTCTAACTCATTCCTCCACTGCTATTGAATATTTTTGTGTCTGTTTTCTGCACACTCCAATTTTTCACCTGTATTCCCACGTCAATCTCTAATGCCTGAATGTGATTAAAATAGTCTTCCACCTCTTCTTCGCCCTCTGTTCATGTACTCAGCAGTTCTTCTGTCACGGGAGATCATGCAGAATTGCCTAGTCACTGTGACCACTAAATCCTTTTCACAGTTGCTAGTTTGGGGATGTAATCTCCTGGTCTATACATAAAGTCCTTTTGTTCCTTACTTTTTAATGTATAATATCTTTTAAAAATGTATTTTGTTTGTTGGGTATAGCTCACCAACCAGCCTAATATATATGTCTGCTTTGGCTTCATTGTAATTGCTATTTTTCTTTTCATTGGGTTATCCACAAATTCTGGTTAGGAAAAATGTTGATACTGGACCTTGCCATCTGGGTCCCTGCTAGAACAGCAACTTTGTGTATGATTTTTCTCAGAGGACTTCATTTCAGTCCACGCATTTATCAGATTTTAATCCTTTAAAGTACATGTACTTGAACTCCATTTTAAAAGTAACTCTCTACTATATGTCATGCGGTATTAAAATATACACTTCAGAAAACTCTCTTTCATTTATATTGCTATTTTTGTCAACCAAAGCTTGTGGTTTCCTCAAAGAATTGTATGTGCTTTATTTGCCATGTCGCTGGAGATCCATGCTGGCTTCCTCTAGTAATTATTCCTATTTTTGCAGCATTTATAAAATGCATCCTGATCAGCACCTTAAAACTCTCCCCTGGAAACCATCCACCATACTGAGACAGACTGCAGAGAACAAAATCGGCGTTATGCTGCCTTTCTTTCTGCCCTCCAAGTGATATCACCCAGAGGTTGTAGTTAAAATGAGCGATGGATAGAGTGCAAGGGGAAGAGGTGCCACTAGATCAAAATGTATTTAATTTCATTAGGAGCTGCTCAGCTTCTAGTCTGTAATTGGTTTGTCTCTGCATAACAGCCCATCTACCACATCTAAGGAATTTTGCCTGACATAGAAAACTGTGGCTTTCTAAACAAGCGCCCTTTGGTCTTTGTCTTGTCTGAGCATAAAATTATTTGTTCACTTTCCCAAAGCAGCACACCGCCATTTCAAAGAGAAGGGAACTGTTTGTGAAAATGGCAGCGCTCCAGCTCTTCCGTGCTGTCCTAAGGACTTTGGGTAGCAAGGGGAAAGATGATGCACTGATAACGCTTCTGGACCAAGAAAGAACCGAGGGAAGCATGTGATAGGGATCCAGCTACTGTTTGTCCCAGACTGGCTGTCTCCCTTTCCTTGTATGATGCCCTGATACAGGCGGTTCTTGGATTCACACGAGGTTGCAGGGAAATCCTGGCCCACGGTTTCAACCCAAATAAATGGGTTTGGCTCAGACGTTGCTAGGCTAATGGAGGAATCTGCTATTTTAGGCCTTCGAGTGGCTGTCATTCAGAGGAAGTGTCCTCTGGTCATCTAATGTGGCTGGGAATTGCCATACAAAGAACAGGCACCCAGATCTGACAGGCACCATATCAATCCACGGGTAACTGCAAGGCAGACAGATGTTTTTTCTTCTCCCCTTTCTAGCTGTTTCTAGAAATCTGAACCTCCATACCTACTACTTCTGCTAAACTATCAGCCCCCTAATTTGATTTGAAGTCCTTTAAAGAAAACTTGGCTGGAAAAATCATTAGTGATTCTCTTTGGTATTTATGGCACTCAGAGGAGAAAGACAGCTTGGTCGGGGTGTTGGCTTAGGCTGATTAGTAAACTATTTGTCCAAAGAAATAACATAGATATCTAGAAGCATGTTAATAACACTGCTCAAAAACATGCCAGGTTATGATTTAAAAAAAAAAAAAAATTGGGATGAACTGCAACAAATAAATATTTGCTGTACTCTAAAATGTCATTAAGGGTAAACACGGAGTTCTGGCCGGTTCTCTGAACTGCAGGCTGTACTTCAGAGCCAGTGTGTTTACTTCTATAGTAATAAAGGGCTTTGGGTGTGGCTGGTGTAGCTAGTAAGAGTAGCTAAACAGACCAGAGCATCCAGTGGTTGAGGAGCAGGGAGTGCGGTGGGACCTGCCAGATCAGCGGAGGACAGAAGTCCTC